TTGTTTTCTTAACATTGAGATGTAATCCATATCGAAGGCTCTATTTTGGCTTTCTTGCCCATTGATGGTACTTATCAATGTTCTATTTTCCACACCCTCAGAGGCACGAAACTGCTGAAGTCCAGTGCTTCAAAACCCCCTTGCTGGGGCTCAGTAGAGACCTCTGTTATGCCTGTATTTGCTACCAGAGACCTTAGACCCCGCCAAACCAATTTTGACCCTGCTTGAGGTGAGCACAGCTCAGTTCGTGGACTCTGCATTGTTTTCCTAGGGTTGCTGTACTGATGTTCCATACTCTGGGTGCCTTAAAATGACAGGAATCTGCTTTTTCACAGTTTTGGAGGGTAGAAGTCCAAATTCAGGGTGTCAGCAGGGCCATACTCTCCCTGGAGGCTGCAGGGGAGGCTCCTTTCTTGTCTCTTCCCAGCTGTGGGTGGTTCCTGGTGATGCATATTGTCCTTGGCTTACAGACTCTGCCTCCATCTTCACCTGGCTGTCTTTCCCCAGAAGAACCCTGGTGGCACAAATGGTTTGCACTCAACTACTAACCAAAAGGTGGTTTAAACCCACCCAGTTGTTCCACAAAAGTAAGATCTGACAGTCTGCTTCCATTGAACATTGCATCCATGAAATTCCTATGGAATAGTTCTCCACTGGAACCTGTCAGGTTGTTGTGAGGCATTATAGACTCGAGGCAGTGGGGTGGTTTTGTTTAGGTGTCTTCCTTCTCTGTGGCTTCTCTTTGTAAGGACTTATGGAATCCAGATGTGGCACTGTAGGATAAGCACTGGACTACAAGGTCATCTTGAGCCGAAAGATAAGCAGGTCAAACTCACCAGCCACTCCTTGGAACCCTATACAGGGTCATTATGAGTCAGAACTGACTTGAAGGCATTTAACAACAGCAAGAGCAACCACTCCTTGGAAACTCCATACAGAGTTGTTACGAGTCACACTTGACGGCATGTAACAACAACAACATAGAGTTTCTGAGACAGTGAATCTTTACTGAAGCTGACAGCTTCATTGTTCTCCCTGAGATCAGCTGCTGGGTTTGAACCACTGGGTCTTGTGGCTAGCATGCACAAGACCTAACCCACAATACTACCAGGAATCCTTTTATTCAATATGTTGTTGTTAAGTGCTGTTGAGTCAGTTCTGACTCATGGTGACCCTCGATAGGATTTCCCAGGACCATCTGGTGGGTTTGAACCTCTGACTTTGTGGTTTGAGGTCTAGTGCTGATCCCACAGCACCACACCAGGAAACCCCACCAGGAAGCTCCAATTATAGGGTCCTAAACTGAGAACAGTGGGTTTAACCCCAACATAACTTCAAGTCATCTGATAACTTCTTCAAAGACCTTGTTTATTTCCAAATAGAGTCACATTCACAGGTACCAGGGTGTAGGGCTTCAACAAGCCTTTTGGAGGAGCACAATTCAACCACAAACCAACTTTAACAGATTGCTGCTCACAATTAGTGGTTTGCTTTTACGTTGCCAGCAATTTCTGAGTGGCCGCTTTTGTTCATCCATCAGTAGACCAGCTGCCACATCTAACCTTGTCTACTGCAACTATTAATAACTTCACGCGAGTGGGCTTTTTGTCCCCAGAGCCAGAAGACACCGAGCATCCTTGGTGCCTCAAGTTTGGATCTATCTGATAACCTGAAGGGACACGAGTTGCTGTCTTTGTGCCACTTGCTACTAATGGCACTAACAACCGGGGCTGCTGATTATGGGAAAAGAAGTGAAGGAGCAAGAGCAGATCTGTTAAATTGTGTGTAAATGGTTTTTTATTTTTTTCCTGTGAAATCTCAGTACCTCCCTTAGGACTTTGCAGTGTAGGTTTCTGTGCTACTCTCTTCTGATATTTGCTTGCTGGGGGTTTTACTCTTGAGAAATCACCGTGACAAGAGAACCATCTTTGCCTCCACGAAGGCGTTGTCAACGTCTCAAAATCCAGGACATTTTAAGGCAGGATTCCAACCTCATTACTGCCACGAATAAAATTCATCCAAGGTGGAAGTGTCCTCTCTCATAACTCAAATCCATCTCAGAATGGCTTTTCTTTCTCCTTTGTTTTTGAGGCTAGGCAATTACTTTCTTTTTAAGAGGGGAAAAAAAATGCCAATGCACAAAACTCTTTTTCCCCTTTCATTTATTTGAAATTGAACTTAAAAAAGTCAGTCCATATGAGTAATGCTTTTTGTCCGTACAGGAACGTTTACTCAAATCACAGGGGAGTAGTGTTTCTCTCTCTGCTTTGTATGAGACTCCATAATGACAAAGTACTCACATCACAGCCTGTTATGAAACTATAAATTGTTTTCATGAATGCTCTGAAGTTGGTCTTCTACGGGGCAAATTCAAAAGGTATTCAGTGCCAGATTTCACATGTGTGAATAACATCAGAAGATGCAATATAATAAAACGAAAGCATCGTGGCCAGGACTGGCCAGTGTGCTGAGCACGTGTCAAGTTAGGGTGCTTCTAGATGGGAGGATGGGGGAGGCAGAGAAGGGAGGATGAAGAAATCGCATATCTCCAGGGCAAGAGTTTCAACCAGGTGCACCTGATTATTTTTGAAGAATTTAATTAAAAACCTGAAAGCAGACTCGGTGCTACTGAGTTGGTTCTGACTCATAGCAACCCCGTGTAGGGTTTCCAAGACAGTAAAAGCTTCATCTTTGTCCCATGGAGCAGCTGGTGGGCTTGAACTGCCAACTCTGAGGTTAATAGTTCAGTACTTAACTCATAAAATGGGGCTCTGGGTGATGGGTGCCTGTCTTTGAAGCTGAGAAGTTGTACCTACCCAGGCCCAGTTAGTGAACAGTATTCTCAAGTCGTCTGGCTGTGTGGGCAGGTGCAATCAATTTCAGTGATTTATGGTTCAATTAAATTATTGAGAATGATATTTTTTGTACTCTTCCGGATTATAGAAGTCATAGAGGTTTATTCAAGAAAATTTAGAAAGCATAGAAAAACATAAAGAAGAAAATTAATACAAATAGCAATACATGCAATGAAATTTACAAACATTGTAACTGTTAATATTTTTATAGCATTTTTGTAAGATTTTGATTTCAACATTTTTCAGTGCATATCATTTTGTATAATTTTAATACATTTTTCCACAATGTTATCTGGCTATATGCATCTTTTTTTTTAGGCACAATTGGGGTCTGGCTGTATATGCTGTTATTATTGTATTTGCTATTGAGTCTCCCCCACCCCATTGCCCCCCACTAAATTCGACTCCATGAACCATGGAGTCATATTGTTCTCTATAGGGCTTTCATTGGCTGATTTTGGGAGGTAGATTTCCAGGCTTTTCTTCCTAGTCTGAATTAATCTGGACACTGTGCTGAAATCTGTTCAACTTTATAGCAGCATGCAAGTCTCCACTATCAGAGGGTGGAGGCTAAATCTGAGGAACATTGACAGGAATTGAACTTGGGTCATCTACATGGAGAATTCTACTGCCTCACTATCCCATTCGCCCTGCCCATGCCTACATGTATGAGGGAGCTTTAAAAACCTCATAGGAAAATGGAATTAAGACGTAATGGAATTTTCCCACAAACTTTTTGAAGCCCCCTCGTATCTGTATACACACATCCCATACACACATATTTTAATATTCTGCTTTTGTACTTGTCCATTAAATCATTTTCCTGTCTCAGTTTATTGAAGTTCATGAATGTCCAAGATTTTGGTTCTGCCAGAAAGGAATCCGCATTCAACACTGTAGCCACCTTTACGAACATTGTATCACTTACCCACAAATGTCTCCAGGCAGAGGATTTCTAAGAAATGCAAAAGGCAAAAGAATCCACAGGTTGTATTAAGTGCAGGGTGCGTTCCATCAAGGCCTGTGGATGTTTTTTTGACCAGTCGTTTTCATTTGTTTGCTTTGCAGTATCTGGTGTGTAAAAGGAAGCTGGAGAGCAAGAAGGAAGCCCTGCTAATCCTTTCCAAGGAGCTGGACACTTGCCAGCAGGAAAGAGACCAGTACAAGCTCATGGCCAATCAGCTCCGAGAACGCCACCAGTCCCTGAAGAAGAAATATCGGGAGCTGATCGTATGTATTACTTCACAGTGCTGTACTCCTAAAGAGGGGCATTTTAAAGTGCTGCTGGCTCAAAATGTGGCTTAATTCAAACAGTTCAGAAGTAGAAAAATTGAGACTTGAAAACTGCCACCCCTTCTTTCCTCTTCAACCTGGTCCCACTCAGACTGATAGTGTACAAGATGGTTTGCTCGGCGTATGAAAAGTTAAATGAGGGAATTTCAGGAAGTCCATGGAATAATGGAATAAAAAGATAATGGAATGTTTTTAGGATCTTTGTGGCGCCCCTGGGGAACTCATAGGCATGTGTGCTTGGGTGTGGCTATTTATTCATTTCCTTAAGTCGAGTTTTTTAAGAGGGTTCATATTATGTATCTTTAGTGTCGGATATAGTAGCCATGAACCACATGTGTGTAGCTAAATTTCATTTTAAAATATATTAGAATGAAATAACATTAGAAATTAAGTTCCTTAATCTCACCTTTCACGGACTCAACTGCTATAGTTGGCTGGTGACTACTGTATTAGACTGTATAGAAGGAGACTGTTTCCACAGCACAGACTGTTCTGTTGGGCAGCATGGTATACATGTTGTGGTTGTTGTTGTTGTTAAGTGCTGTTTGGTCAGTTTCAATTCATAGGGTCCCTGTGTATAGGGTTTCTGAGGAGCAGCTGGTGTGTTTGAACCACCGACTTACAATCAAACCAACCTTGCGCTCCAGTGCTTAGCCTACAGCACCAAAGGTTCTAGAATTTGTTCTTTTCACTCAGCAAGTGATTTTGGATTTCTCTGGGCCATACACACAGAACTGACTCATTCTTTTAAACAGTTGTGAACTAATCCATAGTGAGGATATTTCTATAATCTTTAACCTCTCCTGTGTTAGCAATTTAGATTTTCCTATAGGTTTTCATATCATAAGATTTAAGGGGCTCTGGTAGCATAGTGGTTACGAATCGGGCTGCACAGATTATACGGAAATGAAGGATACTGCCTGTAGAGTGATGATTGGCTTCCTTTTCCCCACTGTGGATGGCATTCTCTTTTCAAAGTGTAGATGCTGTTGTTAAGATGAAACAATGACCTGTGCTGGAGCAGGCTGAAAGAATATGAATAGCATGACACCAAAGAGTGCTTGTTTAGTGAGCACTTACTCACTACCTACATATGTGAGTTCTCAGATGACATGCAAGAGTCATTGTAAGAAAAAGTAAAATGTCTGATAGGTCTTGGGGTTCTCTGTTGATTTTCTTTCATTGTGAGCAAATTTGATCTCCATCTGTTCCCTGCCGTTTTCTTGCCCATAAAGAACACTCAGATGAGTGTGCATTGATTGGTGATCAACAGTGCCAATTTGCTTGAGAGTCTGAGTTTCCAGAGTGTGGGACTAGTAGTTCTAAATCCAGGAAAATCCCAATCAAACTGTGATCACCTTCAAGTGTGTGTGTGGTTGTGTGTCTGTCCATCACTATTGCTTTGCATTTATAGATACATAAATATATATATTTGTAAAGTTTTTATTGTGAATTGAGTGAAAGTTTACAGGGCAGATCATCAGTTTTATATTCAACAAATCATACACCTTGTTTTATTACAATGATTATAATCCCCTCCATGTATGATCAGTTAACAGTATTTCTCTTTATTTGCTTAAAGCTCTTTTTCTTTCTTTCTTTTTTTTTAAACACTCAGGTATATATAATAATTTACACCACCAAAGGGCACATTCTGCAAGTCTGCCTAATGGCCACCATCTCTTAGTCCCTCTCTTCCCATAAATCTAGAGTCCTCAGCTACTCCCTTTCGCCATGTCCCTATCTCAGCCACCATCTCTGGTGTCACCGCTTCTCTGGATAGGGTCCTGCATTCTGCTTGTGCTCTTCTCTCTTGATGGTCTTAGGGTCCTTGTTTCTAGACTGTAAGATGAACTACTCCCCCATTTTTGTTACAAAACTTCTACCTTTACAATTGTGACAGTCGCAATTAGTCATAACAGTTACTCACTATTGAATTATAAGAATCTTATCCCCATTTCTGTTAACCAGACCCACCTAGACAAGATGAAAACTATTCAGTAGGGACCCTTTCTTCCCCCACACACTCTTAAACTAAACTCCCTCTTGAAACCTTGTAAGCCAGTTGCTTCATGCCTTTATCACCCCCTCATTTTATGTAGCCAATGTCTAAGTTGCCCGTCCCTATCTACCTTGTGTACAGAGGGGATAG